GGGCTGCAATAAATGGAGAAATCAAAAGGTCATGTCTCCAAATGCTAAATTGTGTTGTCCTTTTTATCCCAGCAAGGCATGAATGAGTAAGGCAGAGACACCCTTCGGCACACTGCTCAGGTTGAAAGTTCTCACACTCTGCTAATGTCTGCCTGTATGGGTACTACATCCTGGATATGCCCATCAGTCACATTCACTGGCTCAAGGTCTTTACATTACAATGTATTCTTTGTTTCAGAAAGTACTGCAGGTCTTGGGGCCTCCGTGGAGGGTCAGATATTTATCTCTCTTAATGTGCAGCTCTGTCTTCTTCATTGCATTACCTCAGAGCAGAAAAAACACCATGGTAATCCCTTTTTGTCATTAACACTGTGAACATATGTCCTCTAGATTCTGTCACTGGGAAAAGCCCATCCTTCCTCCTCTTATCTGCTGTTGGGGTAAAAAGCCAACAGCTGCCTCCAGCTGCTGCCAACCCTATCTTTGCTCAAGAGCATTAGTACTAACAAGGTAGGCTGTTTCAGAGGAACGCTGTTGGAACATTGGGGGTTTTGACCACTTTAAGGATTAAGTTGCTGGGATAGGATTTTCTTTCCCTGCAACTGAGATTGTTTATATTGAACATTTTAAATTGTCACCTCACCTATGAGGTGCTTCGTTGCTAGCAGCTTCTAATGCAGAATACCAAACATTGTCCATCTTATACATCTACAGTAATGTTTTGCTGTCATGTATCAGAGAAGTGTTTATTCCAATATATATTGCAAAGTACCGTTTTCTGCTGCTGCTTTTGTTTAGTTTTGGTTTATGAGAAGTGAATAGAATGTTAAAGTTACATCTGCAATACAGCTTCCACAGTATATATTCATGGCTAAGACATTAAGGTACTACTTCTTCAAATTCGCAAATGAGTACAGACACCAAAGAGAATGCAGTGCTTAGCTCTTGACTGCTGTAATGTAATTACTTGTACTAATTTTTCATTATATTTCCATGACTAGCAAAGGCAGAGACCTAATTGTATCTCTAGTTGTTGCTACTGCAAAGTACCTTTTAAATCGTATAAACATCCATACTTGATCTTCCTACTGCTTTTGACATATAGTTCATAAGATACTGTTAAATTACTCAGGAAGAGCAACTGGCTCAGGTTATCTCCAAGCCACTGCGTAGAAATGTATCTAGTGTGAGTGATTTGACAGAACTAGAAGAGGCAGTGACCCCTTTTTCCTGGGAAGGCACTTGACCTTAATTTATGAAAACATTATGAGTTCTGTGCAGCATTCTACTCTAGCTGGTACTTCAATACCAAGATGCTAGAAATAGTCAGAAATTAATTATTCTACTTCTGTCTGTTCAAGAAACTATGCTTCCTTTTCTTTGGCACAGACCTAGCAGTAATGATGAACACATTCTGCACTACCAGGCTGGATTATTGTAACTCGCTGGAGCTGAAGATAAAAGCTCCACAGAAACTTCATCTATTGCAAAGCTCAGCAGCCTACCTCATTAGTAGGGATAGCGCAGGAAACACACAGTGCTTATGCTGTGCATCATCAGCCGGCATCTCGTTTGCTTTAGCAGCCAACTGTGGGCTCATTCAATGAAGGTCATCAGAGTACTGGTATGGATGCTGTTCTGTCTACAGAACATTGCCATACTACCTTCATGTCTGTGATACAGTGCTATTGACCATGTGCAGAATTAAAACTCCCTGGAACTGGACATGAGCAACATTGACCAAAGATCATTTCCTGAATCTGATGCAGCTACAACAAGATCTCATCTTAATCCATAAGCTTCATGTTCTTTCGAAGGAAATCTTCCTACAGTAACAGAAGAGACATTTAAGTATGTGTATGTCAGAAAGGAAGGATACCGAAACTTGGGAACAGGGAAGAGTCCACCCTGGAGAAGTGGGTGAACTGCTGGTACTGAAATTATCATTCCAGTAATGTAATAAGAGGTGTCACGGACATGTCTTATTGTTTTACCAATAGCATACATCATAGTTCCCATCATAGTGTGCTGTGGATAGGTCTCAGCCTTACTGCCAGGATAGACGTCAAGAGGTAATGTAGCCTTTTTATGTACCCCAGTTCCTACAGGAGCAGCAGACTGTTCCCCCCAGTCCAAAGAGAGCTGTTCTCCATGTGAAGGTTGGAGAAGGCAGGGCAGAGGGTTGGGGGAAAGGCAGCAGGGAGGGCCAGCAGTAGCTACAGGAACACCAGGAAGAGGGACTTGTGAGGAAAGTATATTGTTTGACTCCTGCCTGCCTGCAGGAAGATGGAATTTTGTCATTCAACCCCGTTATGTAGCCCTGTTATCTCAGTCTCAGAAATATGAGACTGGAGGGCAGAGAAGCTGCGAGGGTGACTCCTCTGGGCATTGGGTGTGACTACTAGGTCCTGCCAGCTCTTGTTCTGCTGAGATAGAAAGCTGTGCTATGGAGAGAAGGGGCTTATCTTTTCTCCTCTGCTGTGTGGACCACCACAGTTCTTGCACTGCTTCTGCTAGAAGGGATCTCTAAAAGTCACCTGGTTCCACTAGGATGGAGGATTATTTATAGTTACATCATCTTTCAAGAGATTTTTTTTCTTAAAAAATCCTCAGGAAGGGGATTGCATGCAGTAACCTGATTCTCTGCTTTGTGGTCCTTTTAGTTAGAATGTCTGTCCTCTTATTAGAATCACAGAAGAATTTGGCTTTTCTTTAATTGTGAGTTAAAACACTATATTTTTGTCCAGACATGGAGCAAAACAGCACTATTCTTATTTACAAGAACGTTTTCCTCTCCAAAAGCTCTCCTCTTTTACTAAGACTAGGAAGCCCCACCTTTCAGCCTTTTCTTCCTGGCCTGATCTTTAGGAACTCTCTTAAATATGTTGCTTGCTTCTAGATTTTTTTTTTTCCAGTTTCTCTGCACTGTCTGCAAGTGCAGTGCCTCAACCACCAAATGGGGCCACCTCAGTGCTGAGCAGAGGGTAATAATTGCTTCCTGTCTTTTGCATACAGCACTTCTGCTATACATCACAGAGTGAGGTATTTTCTCCACCCAGGCCCCAAACAGCTTTACAGTGTTGGGTCTTATGCAAGTCATAGTTTGTTAGGGATCACAGATCCCCAAGGGATTTTATTTTTTTTTTTTTTTTGGAGGTGTCTTAGGGGAGTTCTTTTTGTTTTCTATTTTTACTCAATTGTGTACCTCTTGCATTTTGTACCAAAAATTAAGGTATCTACATCTAAGGATGTCCGATTTCCTCATGAACTTTTTGTCATAAGGAAAGTAGTCTTCAGCATTTTGGTGTATTATAAGGTTAGAAAGTGATATTAGTAATTCTTCATAAGGTACAGTGGCCTAAATGTAATGAATAACACTGTCATTACAATGTCAAAGTTGGTGAGAAGGATTGATTATGCTGTTTTGTGCGGATGTCCATGGTACATATTAGTAGAGTAGAAATAAATGAGGGTCACTTGTTTTCCATACGAAGCCAACTGTGGTGATGAGTCAGAGAAGACTTGCAGAGGCCAAAGCTAATTCTGTGGATTTCCTACCAAAATAAGTGGCGTGCCCTGCAATTTATGACATGTCTCCCTCTGACCTAGGACGCTTTGCTTTTGGCAGCATTCATCTCAGCAGTTAATGCAGACATTCATATTTCACTTTCTCCAGTTAATCCTAATAACCAGCTTTTAGAAGAACATGACAGCATAACATTATGGGTGGTAAAACTGCTCATAAACTATAATAACACAGCCAAAAAAGATTAGATGGATAGATAGATGCACTATGCTTATTGTGACATTTGCTGATTAAGAGGTATAGTTACTTATTACAGCCATTGCCTTGGTGACTTGGAAGCAGACTGAACCTGTTATTTGAAAAACAGGTTATAAGTCCAAATTTAAAACAACTGTGTACTTAAAACCTGTAAGAGATATAATTATGTTGTGATTCTGTTCTTCAGTGTGCAGATGGTAATTTTGTTCATTTATGGTTGCATGCTGATAATGTTTTCTGTAGAACTGGTGTTGGCAGGATTAAGCATGTGTTAACAGTAAGTAGGCAGCGTGTAATACATGGTTATCATATTGTTGATAGGGTTCTGGTGGGATGAAAACCAACCAGACAAATAAGTTCAAATGGTGCCTTTTTGCAGCACCAAGACAGGCATCCTCTGTGTATGTTGTTTCATCTTATTATTTATTTTTATTGTGTGAAGAGTTCTGTTGGGTTTTTGGTTTTGGTTTTGTTTTTTTTTCCTTTTTTTCCTTCTCACTTGGTAACTTTTGTTAGCTTCCTTTTCAAGTGTAGGCAGCAGAGTTGGGCGTCTGCAACTTTGTGCCTTTAGCAATAAAATTCAGTTTCCAATCAGAGTAATTTGAAGTTTCCTATTGGTTTTAGGGGTTGATATATTAGCATACACTTACGAATGTGTATATAGAAGACATAAAGAAAACACATGTATCAGAGATATCCATTTGATTTGTATTTTTTTGGTGTTTGAGGGCAATTAACAAATTTTTCAGCAGCTACTGTGCTTTTTCAGATTAAAAGGGAAACATTAGACAGCATATTGCATCTGTGTGTTTATGTTAAAAAAAATCTGTATAATATGCACAGAATCTGACTGAAAAGACAGGTGCCATAGAATGTGTTGTCTTGGAATGGTCAAACTGGTTTAAATTCTCAGACTAAACAAAAAAAGCTCAGTCTGGGCTGTGAGATTATGCTTTAGCAACGCAAACAAGATTTTGCCAAAGGCATCATAGCCCCTAGAGCTATATAAAGCAAACATGGTTAAAAGGAGGCCTCATTTAGCAGCAAGAAAACCTGTGACTTGTTTCTCTTACTGTCTCTGGTTTTGAAAGAGGGGTGTCTCTTCTACATCAGGAAGTTTGACAGCATCATTATGGCTGAATAAGTGTGTTTTATCTCAGTTTTACATGGTTATGGGAAGAGGCAATTACTCACAAAGCCCTTTGTATCCTGTTAGGACCACCCCTAAAGGATCTTCCCTTTTTCCTCCATCTCGTGGGATGCAGCCCTGATGTGAACGGACCTTCCTTCATATGAGGCTGTGAGTGGCACTTTAAGAAAATGCACTGTAGTAATCGAATTGCACATAAATATGTTTAGTTAATGTTTGCACAGTGTTTAGTCACCTATAGTTTGGGAGACACAGACTAAGCCATTTCTTTCCTGCTGTCTTTGTGCTCTCCCTCTTCTCGTCTCTGAAGACTGTAAGCCTGTCAAAGCAAGGATTACATCTTTTGTTCTGTAAAGAACCTAGTAGAGTTGTTGGCAATGTACATGTCAGGAATATTAAAGATCACTCATACCAGCATGGGCACATAACCAAAACTAATTGTTTCTGAGATTGAAATGGTTACTGTGATTTCAAAAGAATCACTTCAAAAGAATGTTTGTTTACAAGATATCGGGACCTTTGGCTTTTCCGCTCCAGACGTGCTAATATGTCCTTTATTAGGTATTATTAACACAAATTTATGGCATTCTTCATAAATGTAACCATACCACTTGGAATATGTTGGGGTGCTTTATAGACAGATTTAAGTAATTCAGGAGCTTGGAGGTATGAATGGAGATTGTTGTGGTAGTGTCCTGGTTTCAGCTGTAACAGGTTTTTTTTGCCTTCCTAGTAGCTGGTGCAGTGCTGTGTTTTGGCTTTAGTCTGAGAACAGTGCTGATAACACATCAATGTTTTGGTAGCTGCTAAGTAATGCCTACTCTGATCAACGACTTTACAGTCTCTCATGCTCTACCAGTGAGGAGGGGCACAAGAAGCTGGGAGGAAGCAGAGACAGGACACCTGACCCAAACTAGCCAAAGGGGTATTCCATACCGCAGCACATCATGCCCAGTATATAAACTGGGGGCAGCTACCCAGAAGGCCCAGAGCGCTGCTGAGATAGGGCTGGGTACCAGTCAGTGGGTGGTGAACAACTGTATTTGTGCATCAGTTGTGTTTATTGTTTTTTGCCCTTTTAGTTTTACATTCTCTCCCCTTGTTATTTCCCTTATCAGTATTGGTGGTGGTAGTAGTAGTTGTGTATTATACCTTAGTTACTGGACTGTTCTTATCTCATTCTATGGGAGTTACATTCTTTCCATTCTCCTCCTCATCTCACTGGGGAGTGAAGGGGCGGTGGTGGGAAGGGTTGAGCAAGCAGTTACGTAGTTCTGAGTTACTGGCTTGGTTTAATCCATGACAGTGGGGACTGAAGGGTTGAGCTAACTACAGATCTGACCAGAGTGCATCAAAACAAATCTGTTACAAACATTCATTGCTTCAGATTAATAGTCACTCATTGCAATGTTGATTTATTTGCTCTTAGAGTTGTTGCCCTTGGTTTCAGTTATGTCGCACCTTACTTGCAGCTTGTATTCACTGTTTTAGTGTTTTTTGGCTTTGGGGCCTGGGCTAAGGTTCTCATTTTGTTGTACTTTATGATAATGGCTTGTGATATGACGGAATTATTGATCATGAAACTGATCTCATATGCATTATCAGTGTGGCCATCATCAGTGTGGCCATCATCTCTATACTTTGGGAACCACATAATGGAAATTATTAATAATTACACCTCTTCCCCCCTGCCCCATGAGTTCTCTTGCAAGGTAGTGCAATTTTAACATCTAGAAAATATTTTGTGTTCTGATTTTCTTTTTTTATATAAGCCAGCATAAAGTGAACTATCTGTAAATCGAAAATCCATGAAGTAACCCAAAATGACATTATTGAGAATAACACAAATGTATTTTTAAGGAAAGGAACATTTGTTAATTTTGTAACTGAGAGTAGATCACTCTTTAAATACACTATGACTAAATGTTTGAGTATGATTGAGAGCCCACAAACATACATATTTTCAGGTCTGTAAATAAACTTGCCTTTTCTAGCCCCTTGGTGGTCTAGTTAGTGATGAAAGGCTGTTGATACTGCTTTAAATTGTTACAGGTCTGGGCAAGTACTCTAATGTAATCCTTGTTCTTCCACCAAACAGCAAGATGTCTGTCCTGTATTTAGCCCCTGAAGAGCGACACCTTTAAACGTCTATCCTTAAATACATATTACAAGTGCCCTGGATCATTTATTCTTCTTCCACCCTAGAGTCTGGGGGAAGACAAGGCACCCACCTGCCTGGCTTGCAGGCTACCCTGCGAAGTAGCATTTTTGGACTGCATAAGCCACAATCCTCCTAGTTGATACTCATTTGGTTTTGTTCCTTTCAGTCGTCTGTCTTCCCAGTTTAGAGCCATTAATAATGTTTTCTGCCTACCCTTTTGCTCTTCCCTCCTTGTTGCCTTTTTCAGCAAGAGCAAAGTCTTCTTTTCTTGGCTACACGTTCAAACATCTGGCTGGCTGGGACTTTGACTGCAGAGAAGGATGTGGCTTGGAAAAAAGGAGAAAACCCAACAGGATGCAGTAATCTGTTTTAAGACTGCCAAAAAAGATACATCTGTCTTTGAAACAAAAAGTGGCAAAAGTGGCTTTGCCAGTCTCTGGGGCCTGAAAACGTTCCCTGAGAAATACTGATGACTGACTATTAAAGGAAAAGATTTAATTTTATGAGGCAGCTCCCCCTCTCTCTGAATATAAGGAACAGATACATAGTGAGCAAGTTCTTTCCCTGGATCTTTGTGCGGAAAGAAAATCATGTAAATCTGGCATTTTACATAACATGTTGGTTTCTCATATAATTGTTAGAAACCATATCTTGTACAGTAATTTGCTTTGTATGGCAGCAAAAGGGAAATGTTGGAAAGCAGTCTCTTCTTAGCTATTAGCTGCTGGCTGATGTCTCTTTTTTTGTGTGATTTATCGATGCTAACCCTGTGAATAAAATTTTCAACTAATCTGAATTGTGTGCTAGTGACCAGATAATATCAATAACCTGACACAGGTAACAAAGGCCAGGCCAGTGTATTGCATGTACGACCTAGGAATGCAAGCTCTGCCTTTGCCACAAGTAACTGTCTAATAAATGGGGCTTTGCAAGCAAGGTCCTAGGAAAGAGTCATCTGCAGACCTGCAGCCGTAAGAATCTGCTTTGCTTAATCATACTCTGAAGGTCATCATGTTCCAGTTTGTTTGAAGAACTTGCTCCCTGCTGTGGTCTGCAGTTTGTTGCCTTTCTGAAGAGTATTGGAGTTGCAATCCTGTTTTCTTGGTACAACGGTGAGAATGCACTCTGCAGCTGTGGCAATAAGGTGCGGGGAGAGGGACAGTCATTTGGATGCATCACATGAGGCTTGGGCTTACTGGGAAAGGGAGCAGGATGGTGTTTTGGGGGTTCACAGGCTTGGATTTACTGTGCTTTGTGACTGTTTACAGCTTCACACGTGATGACCAGCCCCTCAAACTCTACGTGCTGAGCAGTAGGCAGCCCAGTGCAGACCTCAAAGCGCTAGGTATGCCCAATTAGCAGGTTGCTTTACGCCTCATTAACAGAAAGGCAAAGGTTTTCTGCCAGAGCCCCACTGTTACAGGAGGTGGTGAAGCTGTGGTGAAGCCTCCCTCCTAATGCGTGTTAGCCATGGGTGTTCATTGCTAAACCCAAGGAGTTGTCCTCCCTGTGTTGTGATGGTGCCTACAGATGCTCCGGATTAGCACTGCATAATACTTTGACACAGCAGCTGCAGTCACGTGCAGATGGTGCCAGAGAGTATGCTGCCTTCAGGAACACTGCTATTCAGCATGCAGTATCTTGGGAGAGTGCCTTGTCTCCCCTGTGACCTTCTTGCTACTGGTTGTTCTTCATCACAAGACCCGCCTGGGTATATGTTGTGTGAATAAGTAGACAGTTAATTCATGATCTCTGTAAATTCACTGCTTGGTAAGGCTGGACACAGTGTACCTAACCCGTGGAGATACTAAGGGTTGTGAGACCATGGGAAGACTGTGACTTAAGAGTCCTGTTTGAGTCAGACTCCTCGAAGCAGAGACAGTCAGCTGCACCCTGTACCACTGGCTAATTTCTGTTTGAATGCATGATGTATGAGTAACTACTGTCTTTCATGAAGAGCTTGTGCATTTGGATGGAAAAGCCTGGAATCTGGAGTCTCCAGCTCAAGGGATACTTACTGGCTTCCTCCTTGATAAGAGTTAAGTGACCTTGGCAGTGGGAGAGGCTGTTCTCACTCACCAGCTCTTAGGCTTTGTATGCTACCAGATGCTGTAAGTGGCCTCATAGGCTTCTGGTCTCTGTGTCAGGTGAGCAATGCCTGCCTAATTGAAAAAGTAATACTGGAAGGAAACAGTATGAAAATAAATTTATAGTAATTTAATCAGAGAGCAGCTGCTTAGTTGTTCACTTTCCCCTTCTGTTGGGTATTTGAACTGTTTCTTTTACAAGGAAATAGGATCTTGCACAAGTAATTTCTAGCTATTCATTTTCTACAAAAAGTCTTTTAGTTCTGCCTTCTCAGCTGATTCCTGTTGCTGCACACTTGGTTGTGAATTAGTAGGTATTAAAAAAAATTATATGGGCAGGCTGTCTCTGCTACTTAAGAGGTCTTTATCCCCTACAGAGTCTAAGTGACTTGTAATAGTTAACATTTATTTCAAACACTCCAGGGAGGAGCAGTCAGTCAGCTTGTAAAATAGATAAATGAATTCAGTTGCCCAAGATCAAGCAAAAAATCTTTGGGAAAGGGGACATGAAGCAAGGTCTCTTGATAGCCCAGTTTGGTAATGTGTCCTAAACCAGTCACTGTCACTGATAAAGGCAGTTGGAAGCATTCAAAGGAATGCTTAACTTTGGCAACAGCAAAGGTCATTTCTTGGAAGCTGGTACTGTCTGTGTGGATTATTTCTTCTTATGTTTTTATCCACAATTGTCTTTGGATAACTCCTTCGTTATTATTGTTATTATTCCTTATATGAAATGGCAGCACTTCTTCCCGAGATGGGCTAAATTCTGTTAGAAAGGTCTACAGTAACTTTCATAACGGTAACAAAAGTAGCATTAGCTTCCCAGTTGATGTAAATCACAGGGAAGCATCAGACTTGCATTTGAATCAGGTTGTGTTCTCATCCCAAACATTGGTTGCATTTTTC